ATCAAAACAGTTAAAATAAAATAACTGGGTTTTGTAGGATAATTATTTTTATTCAATTATTATTTAACACTGAAAAAAAGTTTTTTGTATGTATGTGTGGATCAGCAGCAATAGCAGATCATGACGTTAACTAAAACACTCATGACCAATCATGTAAGTCATAATTTTGAGTTATGAGGAATATATCATGTTATATTGAAGGACTCATCTAATGACCTTTTTGTTGGTTTCTGCCACCCAGACAATATAAAAGAAGGTTCACATCCTACAGACAAGAGTCTCCATTTGTAATCATATTTAGCCACCAACTAGCATAGGTAACCTTGAGCAAATGGTTTGGCCTTTCCAAGGTTCCATTTGGTGGTATGATAAATGAAGAAGTTGGAATAGAAGAACTTTGGTTCTCCTTTGCTCTTTCCAATGTTATGGCTGTAAATGAAATAGATTTCCTGAATTATTTTATACATAGTAAAAATTAGGTTATATATAAATTTATAAAAGCTAGGTCACCAAATTTAATGAGCACTTCACTGTTAAAACAGAAAACTCTAAATAATAAAATGGCTTAAATAATCAATAACTTATTGATGACCTAAATTCAAAATAATCAACCTAAAGCTAAATAATCAATATGGCTTTTCTGAGACCTGAAATATTTTACTAGCATTCTCCAATGAAAATAGAGTGAAATTTTAGAGCTACACATAAGACATTCCAGCTAAATTGCATGGTCATAGGAAAAGTATTTACATTAGCTCTGTGAGGTCTTCTGTAGGGCTATTCTCTTTCTTTCAAATCTCCTCATCCCTAGATATGCCAGACCATCAGCTACTCATTTCTTTAAACTCTAAGAGCAATTAAACTTTATACTACTAATTTGAACATTTAATATCTTGTATTTGACCTTGGTACATGTTCTTAATCCTTCTTGTCTTCCAACCAGACTAATTTAACAATCAAGAATCAAGTCTTTGATTTCTTTATTTGTTCCTGCCACAGGATTCCCATTCATTGGTAACTAGCGCCTCCTAGTGAAACACTGAAGTATTAGAATATTGAAAAACTAATGGTTAGAGAGAGAGAGAGAGAGAGAGAGAGAGAGAGAGAAGAAGAAGAAGAAGAAGAAGAAGAAGAAGAAGAAGAAGAAGAAGAAGAAGAAGAAGAAGAAGGAGTAGGAGAAACAAGGAAGACAGAGAGAGAGAAAAAAAGAGAAACTAAAGAGTGGGAATGTGTCACCTTTTATTCATTTGTTCACCAGATCTTATAATGTACCCAGCATTTGTTCTCTTCATTTTCTCACACCCTGCCTTAGTCCTTTTTCTTTTGACATATAGATGTTAAATAGCTCCCCAATATTTTTTCTTTCTCTATATTTCCCTGCTAATCTCGCTAAAATGAATCATACCTAAGAAAACCATATTAAAATCATTTTTCTTGCTCTTACTACATCACTCATTCCAAAATGGTCTCTCTCCTTAGAATTTGTTTTACTCCTTGTTTATATCTTATTTTTAGGCAAATATGATATAATTCATATTTTCCCATGTATTATATTTTTTATCTTGAGCATTTAAAAATTATCTCTAACCAACCTGCAAGTCTAGTATTGTCCTTTCATGTAGTACACATTCTGTATCTATTTGTTGGTTTTATGTGTTAACTTGGGAATAAAATGAATATTTGACCCTTTGTAGATATAAAAGACATCTCTTGGCACACTGGTTGGCAAATATACTCTTATTTTATTTATTTTCAAAGGTAACTATGATTTGTTTGAAGTAATCTTGAGACTAGGTAAGCAAGACAGTATTAGGCTTTGTGGATTAATGTTATAAAATGAGGAGGTCCTATTTTGCTGCTTAACTGTAATTAGGAAAAAAATCAGAGCTTAATGATGCATTCTACTCTGGAGCTTTAACTGACATGCACCAAGAAATGGTTTTCTCAACTTTAAATGGTTTGCAAAATATTATTTCTGACTTTGTTCCATGTACAAAAAATAATGGAAAATAAGTGTACTATTCAGAAAATTCAATATTTATTCTAAAATGTGAATTGTTGGGTTGTAGGACTATTTCATAGTCTCCAAAAGAGCATAAAATCTACCTTTACTAATTAGTTTCTTGATGAAAGCCTTACAGACAATTACAGGGTAATATCACTGGTCAATGCTCTAGGTGCTTTTCATTAAAGGTATGGTGTTGCTACCAGATGAATTGCTTCATATAAAAGCACTTACCACAAAGCCCTATAATGGAAGGTTAAGTGCTATACTTAATTACTAATTTCAACCCTTATTACCTGTATTTTTCAGTGCAGGCACTTTAAAAGGAACCAAATATAGTCTGTTGGTTCTGTTCCTGTTTCTCTGATTATAGGATTTGGTGGTAAAAGCATTAGTCCAGCTGCTTTTCTAATGAATAATACCCCCCCAATTTCTTAAGAATAAAAATAGTTGTACCACAAGCCATTATAAAAGATATATAGTAGACCTTGATATTGAACTCATACTTAAAATCACTTTGTTCTAAAAACTTTAATCTACATGACATACATTAAAAATTATATTCAGTCTTTATGGCATTGTTGTAGAGGAAGCTCCAGGAGGAAAAGTATTTGATGTTTTCATCTTTTTTTTTTTCTTCCTCAGCATCATACTGAAATGCATACAAAGCAATGGTGACTCTTCTGAGTATTTTACATATTGATCACTAACTTGTTATATGTATCTAATGGATAGAATTTTCTCATATGAGCTATAATTTTCTTAAAAGTGGTGTCTATATTTCTCTTTTGTTTCTATCCTTCAGAATAATTGCAACTTTGTTCACTCTTGTTTATTAGTATTACCTAAAATACTCATTGGTGAAAAGGTGCTTAGAATTCTTGACTAAATATTCAAGATTCTAACTATAATAGTTTTAACTATTTCTAAAGATTTGCTCCTTAATTATCATGATACTGCCAGCCAGCTTCTAATTTTAAATGTGCTTTATATTTTTTCTTTTTCTATCTATCTAAGTGGTGAATAAGAAATTACACATATTAAATATTGATCTAGAAAGAATACAAATATTTCTTCAAATAATTAGCTAATATTGCCTCAATCTAGGTACCTATATTCAAATTGGACCTTAGACTGTCATTTTTTTGAAAGTATATCCAGTGCACACTATCTAGTATATGCATGATTATTAATCACGTGGAATATAGTAAAATTATATTTTTTAAACTGTAGAAATTTTAAAAAACATGAAACATTTATGAAAATGCATTGATACTTTCAAAATCTGTATTTAGATCATCTATGCTTATGAGATGCACACTATATTCCTCTTTTGTAAATGCATTCTGCATTTAAATAAAATAAAATCCAACTAGTTTAACAGTGTAACCTAGAATTTCCCAAACTGATTTTTAGCATGACTGATTTTAGCATGACTTCCTCTTCCTCTCTGTAGAAATTCAAGATCACAGTTCTAGAAAGTCCTGATACAGGTTGCTAAATAAAGATAAGTTAAAGCATTTACTGCTGTTGAAACAAAGCTAAGTTTCACAAGGTAACTGCCAGACTAATGGGAAGAGGAGGAGTCATTATATATGTTCAGGTCTGCTCTTCACATTGACAACTTCCCGTGGACAAAGCCGAGACTTTATCCTTTTCTAGTTTATGAGTTCCATAGCGTCCAGTGCAATGACTTCCTCTCAGAAAATAAGAATTGATTAACTCATACCTTAGGAAAATTAATAATTTATTTTTTTCTGTAATTCCACTGAGTTTGTGGATATTAGTTTTCAAAAGTCCATTTATACTAGGATTTCAGTAATGCAGTGGGGATTATTAGCAGGGGCTGTGTGATATTGCCTGCAGATTTAAGTTCCTGCAGATCATCCATACCTTCATCTTCTCATAGATGGTAATAGAAGACTATGTTCACATACTTGTAGTGTAAAATTCCCAGGACGGTGATTTAACAATATTTATTGAGTGCCTACTATTTGCCATAATTTTAATAGGTCCTGGGCATATTATTAATTTGATTGTTTTAAAATTTTGTCATAGAGCAGTTTTTTTACTACATTTAATTCAACAAATATTTGCAGAGCACTATTTTTATATAATGGCTTGGAAGTGGGCCTTGAAGATGCAAAAAAAGAAATAAATCAGAAAAGGTCCAGAAAAGCATCAGCATCATTTCAGTCCATCATTGTGAGTCACTACTAGGAAAATGATATTTATTTAATAAATCAGTGGTTTCATAAAATTATTTCTTCCAAGAAGCAAATAACTCTAATAGAAGAGTTAATTCTATATACTTTCATTGTGCAAAATGGAAATTTGTTTTATACTTTAATTTATATTGTATTATAAATTGTGTGATATATAAAAAATTCATTTTACAGACTCCTAATAAATAATACCAGCATCACAGAATCCTCATGAAACTCCTTTTAAACGCATGTTCTTCTATCTGCTGATTTGTGAGGCTATTGTTCTTGTAACTGCTGATTTCTGGTACTATCCATCCTTTCTTGACTCCTCTGCTTACCGCCTGTTCTTCCTGCCCTTTTCATGAGTCTCAGCTGTGTGTCACCATCAAAGGAACAATCCAGCCTTACTTCTCAGAAAAAAAGTGTTGCAATTTTCCTTCTTAGTCTTAAATCTTAACTTTGTTACTTTTGACAAAGCCTTTCCTTTGTTCAAATGCAAGGATCCAGTAAAAAGAGCTTTGACATGCTGTGCCTTTTATGTGTGCATTTTTTGGTTTCACTGATGTCCTGGATTTTGCAAATGATGCAGCGTGTGCCTTCAAGTTCGCCTATAAAATGCCACTTGTAAACGGTAGCTAGAACAATTCAGGACAGCATTACATTGACATGACTGTAAAGTCTAATAAATACTTGATGGTTTCTCAGAAAACCACAACTTGGCGAAACGGACGCAAAATAGTGCTTTGTTTTTCATAAAATCTTTCCAGGATACATATTCACTCCCTTACCTGCAGGGTAGCGCTCGATCACTGGCCAGCTGTCCACCTGTAAAGTGGCATTGCCACCACTTCTTGTGAAACGGACTACATGGTATTTCCCATCATTAATGATTGCATTGGACTCTTCAATGGCGATGTCATCTGTCCCAACATTAAACTTAACCCCAATTTTTCCTTGGTGCTGAAAGGAAGGAGAGAAAAAAAAAAGTTGTATTAAGCCAAACTGATTAATCAGCATTTAATAAGGATTACATACAAGGCATTGCTTCACAACATGTTTGGGCCACAGCTGCTTTCCTCTGATTTTACTTCTGAAAAACTGCATGTAAGAGCAAGATTGTTGACATTTGGGTAAATCTAAGACACCTCTTTCATGGATAATTGATATTCCAAAAGATGTACTTTCAAGGGAATTAAGCAGCCTTCTTTCCAGAGGCTGCCACAGACAAGGCACACAGCTGCCTCCATGAAAGGACATCCTTTTATGGCTTTTCCACATCTCTTTTAATCCACTCCCCCTTTTCACAAGAAAAACGAGACTTGAAATCCTTCCTTTTAATAACTGGTAAATTCGGAACAATGAGGCCTGTTTAGAGACAAGTGACAAATACTCACAATATAGGAAATCATTCTAGGAGGATGAGGAACAGAGACAGGCACTAATGAGTGAGATTTCAAAGTCATTATTTACAAACTATCCAACACTAATAGCCTGAAATTTATTCAATATTTTGATTTTATAGATGATGAAACTGCAACACAAGAAGGTACAATGACTTGATCAAGGTCACATAACTCAATAAAGATGTAGTAGAAATAAATCTTTGTTCCTTCATTTTTAGGTTTATACCCTAAGCTAAGATGAAGCTGAAATAGCTATCCAAAGTTAACTCCTTCTCAGAATTATGCAAAATAACATCACAAATCATTCTAAGTGAAAAGTTGTGGCTGTTAACTTTAGAATTTCGTAACATAGTGTGGCAAAGAGAAGCATGTGCTTGTGTCCTCGGCTCTTAGAAGCATTCTCTAGCAGCAGGACTGTCAACTCTAGCATGAGCTCAGCTGATTTTTAAAGAATGTGCATTTGCCCTTAATCAGTAGCACAAAATACCTATGCTGCAGGCCCTTGTCAGAATGTATAACCTCACACTGTCTGTGGCTCACCTCTCATCAGACCACAGTTGGGAGAAATGATATGGAGAAAGAGGATTTTAAAGGACAAACAGTCCATCCATTCCTGCAGAAATTTAAAGTGAGAATACAAGAAGCCCGATGGTTTGGAGCACATTCTCTTGGCCCTTTTCTGGATTGTCATCATTGAGCTAGGAAGGAAGATGATGCCACCAGCTAAAATGAGAAGCCTTGTTAAAAAAATAAAAGGTCTACTGCATTGTTTGAGGGGAAGTGCTCAAATGGTCTTTGGAATCTTTGGGTCATTATCCTCTTGATGCATACATCCTAAGGTTTTCTGCTTTGTTTTCCCTTTTGGTACCTATTGTCCATAAAAGATCACTTATGAGGAGTTAGTTTAATTTTTAATTTGTTTTCTGATGACTTGGTGGCTAATATGACTTTAAAATTCACATTTCCTTTTTTGACACACTCTACATATTTGTTAACTAAAGATAGTATCATATTTCTTAAATGAAATTCCTAAACTTTCCTGTGGAGCTATATCACATGTATGCTAAAGTATGTAGACCACATTAAATCATTTATTGAAAATGAGCAAATAGAAATTTTGTTAAAGTGAGAGGCTCTGACTGCTCATAAAAATATCTGGGCTAAAACCAATTTAAAATCTAAGTTTCCATAAGCCCTTGGAAAAGATTTCCATTTTATTTGTTATCTCCTGTTTCTTTATCACTTGCATTTTTCTACAAAACCTGAAATGCCTTACAATGCTGTGAATTTAAAAGTAAGGATAATGAGAGCTATGGTAGAAAACAAAAATAATTTCAAGGAAGATAACATCTTAAAAAGTTTGTGCAGCTATTAAAATTTTCCTACCCACTCTGACTCCATGTTACTTAATAGAACAAACAGATATATAAATATATATATATTATTCTAAGCACTTTATAAATACTAATGCAAGGATTCCTGGTGGTATTTTATCTCCATATTATAGATGAGGACTTTGTGGCACAGAATGATTAACTTGGCTGATGTCACACAGCTAGTAAAGAAAAGCTGTGATTCAAACCTGGACAGTTTGTCTTCAGAGTCTGTGCTCTCAGTCATTATACTGTACTGAATTTAGTAATGTTGTGTCAACCTATAGCTACAATTAGCAGATTTGGTAAATCTGGTAATTCTTTGTTACCTGTTGTATCTCTCCTGATAAAGTAGAAGTACCATGGGAGCTTGTATTGTGAACCGAAGTTAGACATGTATCAATCAATATGTGCTTAAAATAATTTCATAATGCATAGTAAGCAACTGATACATGAATGTAATAAGATGTTAAAATGATTTTTTTGTTTGAGTTTTATCTGAGATCTTGAGATTGCTGGGTTTTTTTATAAAATTAAGTATGAAGTTGTTTAATCAGACTTTCAGAGGAGAATATTGAGAACTGCTTCTGAAGGCCCTGAATCCAGTCTGTCCAAAAAAGGAGGAAAGGTCAACAGGAGCTTGGGAATTAGAGGAGGATTTGGGGAGAGAATTGGAATGGGATGTGATTCACACATGTAGCCCAGGTGGAAGGTAGCTTTTCCCTTATGTCAAGTGTAGCGGAAAGAGACTTTAATGGAGCATTTCAGAAAGTTTGCTATGCGACTTCTGGGGTTTATTAGCAGTGGTTGCAGTAGTCAGCAAACTGAGATCTACCTGAATGATCTTCAGGGGTGCCTTGTGCCCTGTTGCACAGCAAGAGATGCTACAACACCAGAGGCCACCTGTGCATCAGAGTTTGTTAGGATAAAGGACACATGAGGATTACTTGTGGATCAGAGGTTAGAGAGCCAGCAGAGAGTTGTGGTGTATCCTTCAGTGGGGACATTGAAGGGGTGGGACTGAGTAGTGAAAAAAAACTCAACAGAAAGAACTTGGACTTATAGTTATGGATTCTCAGAGCCTGTGGCAGGAATTCTAAATGACTATCTCAAAGGTACACATACCCACTTGAAGGGAAATTCAGGCAAGGAAATTCTCAGGGTGAGGATAAGAGCTTTAAAATATGAATCAAAAAGAGCTCCTTCAAGGGCGTAAAGCATAGGCTAAGCCAGATAGACAATATGGTTATTCTAGGGTTAGCCAAGCAAGGTCCTTTCTACTCCTTATCTCTTCCTATTTCTCCTCCTCATCCCCAGAGGATTCAGGGAGGAAGAGGAGAAGAAGAGTGACATCACGGAAAACAGAGGAAAAACAATCGTGTTTTCCTTGCCAGTGCAGGTGGGATCTCCAGTGTGGACTTTAATTACTATTTCTTACTATAAGGGAGTGAGGTGAAGATGCTTTTTGCTTCTAAAGTGAACACATGACCTTTTTACTATGCAAGGGTGACCAAAGGAGTGTTGAGACTTTGCCTGTACTTCCCTGGGGGTCAGGAAGAAATATTTCCACAGAACATGTTTCAATTCTGGTTGTATCCTAGGAAGCAGCTTTTCCAACATAACAAGTGCATTAAGATATTGTGAAGTTGCCCATTGTTTTGAAATGTCTTTTAATGTTAGATATGTTCTTTACACCAGGAGAGACTGGAAAAAATTCTTGAATTTTTCTACTTGTTCTGATAGCAAGGCCACAGTGTATTTCCCACAGACTTCTAATTATTAAGAAGTTCCAAGTTCTGTGAATAAAATCATTGTGATGCTAAAGCTAGAAAAGTCCCAGGCTGACTGGGTGTTGGTGGCTCCTGCTACTTGGGAAACAGAGATAGGGAGGAGCACAGTTCTGGGCAAGCCAGGGCAAAATAAGTTTGTGAAACCTCATCTCAAGGGAAAAAAAGCTGAGTGTGGTGACCTGGGAGGCATAAAATAAGACTGTAGTCCAGGCCAGCATAACCAAAAACCAAGACCCTATCTACTGAATAACCAGAACAAAAAGGGCTGTAGGTATGCCTTATACATAGAGGTAGAGGGTTTGCCTCTCAAACACAAAGCCCTGAGTTCAAATCCCAGTACTGCCAGAAAAGAAAAGTTCCAAATTAAGCAATACGTCTCTAATTTTTAATCTTCTTGCAATATAAAATATAAAATGCTTATTTTTCTAAGGTATAGAAATTTCCAGTTTCCATAGGTTTGGTTTCTTGCAACATATTATATAAATAATTAGGAAATAGTGAGGATCTTTGATGCTTGGAGAGTTTTTGATTTTTTCAATGATACCCATCTCTCCTTGGATATGTTGATTTATTGCTACAACTTTCAATATCTTTGACATACCATGTTTTCAAATTCTGTAGAGTTAGCTGTAATGGAACTAAACGCCATTAAAGTATATCCAAACAAAAGGTCTTACCCTACTTAGGACATTGTCTACTCCATTCTAAGCTGCATCAAGACCTTGAAAAGCAATTTATGTGTAAATGATAACCAAAGGGTCATTTTTCCCTGGAAAATTATTTTAATGTACATAAAGTGCGAAATATTACTAATCAGCATATCTTATAAGATCAATATTTAAGGTTCCATTTAGAGGCTATAAATTTCTCAAAACACAATCCTTCCATGTTGATGGGACAGGGAATCATTTCAATTACATAAATAATAAAACTTGTTAAACTTTCTTGCCAATGGATAATTACAATTTAAACAAATTCATTTTGTACTCTTCTTTTCTGGGATTAAATGTGATTGTCTTGGCAAATTCTCATGAATATTGCATCAGCAAAACCAGCAGTCATTTCACTGGACATGTAGTGATCTCCCTGTATTATCTCTTCCTTGAAATGAATAACTGGTTCACACCGCAATTTCATAAATCTATTATAAGAATATCAGTAATAAGGCATTTCTAATTTAATGAAGTCTTTCCATGGATTCATTAAATAAATAGTGACAAAGGTAATTATTGATTTTTTTGCAAACGCTCATTTGTGAGTAAGGATTATAATATTGAACCAAGTTAAAAGGAAATATCATGAAATACAACACTGGGAAGGTAGTTGAAAGTTGTAACAAGTGACATCTTAGTTTAATGCACTAATTCCATCTGAAATAACATTCATGTGAAAGA